AAGCGACAAAAATCTAGGTTACCATATGTTATCAAAAAATATACCTGCTGGTTATCCAGGTATGGTAAAACATCGCTTGTCCTGACGGTACTTGCATCTACGCTGTCTTCCATAGTAAGAGTGGCGGCTACCTCAATTTGCCCCCGCTTATGTCCTAATTCGTGCGCTAAACTTTGGCATTATCTCGTTAACTTTTAGGAAAAGAGCTTTGAAGCTTTACTTTACCTATCGCTCGTGATCGTCTGACTCTTTCGATATCAGAAGCGCTGTTAGTTTGATCCATGGTACATTTTGGAGGAGTGAGACCCTCGCACTCCAAAGGTGATCGACAGATCTCCAGTATACATTCATAATTCAGCACAGTTGCATCGCTAAATTTATAGCCGAACACCTCCACGATTGCCTAAAACATTTTGACATAAAAAACAGTAAGTTGAACACTGTGTTCAAAGTTGCATGTGCCAGCGCCATTGATTGATTAATATAGGGCGCTGGCACGGCGTTGGCACGGTGTGACACATAGGCAACTCTAAGCTCACCTTGTCGTCTTCATAGAGCACATCTGGCTGAATGGTTGGGTCGATAGCACAACCGTCCACATCGATCTAGAAAAGAATTTTACGAAGATCTCCGCTAAGAAATTTCTCGAAAACTCAATAAATCAACTTGCAAGGTCCACTCGTTCGCCGCGACCGTCACTGACGGAACAACTATGCACCAAAAATCCAGATGTTGAGTCACACTGCCATACATGATAAATTCTCTCTCCGACTGTTCCAGACCTCGAAAACAGATATTTTTCACAATATCAAACATTCGTATCCACTGCCTACATCACGACTGGTCCATCTGGTGCTTGGCTGTGGATCGAATATGTACAAGTTGGTGTAGAATATGTGTTTAGAAGTTCTGTAGTTCCAATGGGAGACATTTCTAAAACAAATTCGAGCGCAGAAGATCACAGATTGATATAGTATATGGTTCTAGTCAAAGTAAAGAACATGCATACCAATAGAGTTCGTCAAAGTTTTCTGATTTTTGAAGAAGCAAATACATCTATACGCACGATCAGCTTTGGTTACAAAAGTGCCATGAAACGATACTACGACGACCAGTGAAGATATAAGTCCCTAAAGGATATTTGATATCACACTAGAAGAAATAAGCGACGTAATATAAGTCACTAAAAATCTTTATGAAGAATGGTGAAGTCTACCTGTACTTGACCGGTAACCCTTTGTCTTTGCATCGTGCAATCTCCATTTTTGAATTGCATAGATAGTCTCAAAAGCAAAAATGTCATCAAACATTTACTGTAATCTGTGCGAAATTTACCTGCTCTGATTTCGATTTTTCAAAAATGCTTTGCTACATTTTTCATCTCCTGCCATTCCGTGCACGTAAACTCTGCCGGAAAAGGGCTTTTTCGTTTTGAAAGTCAAACCCACCACAGATCCTTCGCAGTCAACCTTTGTCACAGCGAATTCAGAAAATTATCAAATGAGGAAAGGTAGAACTCACTGTGGGCTCTCCTACAATTTCATTTTCTATAGAATGCCTAGAGCAAGCAGTTGCCGCCCAAATAAGAATACCTATATATTTCATCTGAAACTGATAACGAGTATGTACCTTGGCATGCATAAGAACGCGGATTTGCTCAGTGTAATTTTAAGAGTTTCAGTAAATTTTGAAGGAAAAGAAGGTAAATAAAAAGAAATTATGAATTTGATGTGCTCTGAAACCAGAGAGGATATGTTAGACCTTTGAAATCCCGAGTGTTATCGCCTGTGTCATCATGTTATGCACGAATCACAACGAAGATACCATCAAATCCTTACGATTGTCCAGGAGAGATATTTTGTAAACATTCGTGCCATAGTAATCAGTTCATATGATATTGTAGATTTATGTATTGTTAGGAAAATAGCTTGAATGATTTGTCCATGTTCCGAAAAACTCGATCCTTCGGAAAGTGACTGCCAGGGCTCAATATTGAGCCCCTCGTCTTCTGTGAAGCCCACCGGCTTTTTTGGTTCTATAGATGCGTGAAAACACCAACCTTTACGTTTTGCTTTATAGTTTGTTTCTGTTTTGGAGTACAATGTCACTTCTTTGCAGAAAACCAAAAAGAAGATAGGATAGGATAGTACTCATATTTGAATGATACTGCCACTCTTACACTGATACTGCCGTTTCAATGGATTCCTACTAAAGAATTGTAATATAAGTGTTCATTCACTTTTCACCTTTTCGTCGTCCATTTTTTAGGTACAGTTCTTGTACTCAAATCTATTGCCCATTAAATTCTGCCGACTTTCCAGAAACTCGATAATCAACTAACACTTTCCACTGAAAACTTCTGTAGTCTCTAACTGCACAGCCGGTAATGTATCTGCTCTGGCTTGTTAGCAAGCTGGAGAGAGAATGTGGACAATGTTGCTAAAAGCTTTGCCTTC